TGTTACAAATTTGTGTTTGATTTATAAAAGAAATGAAAATTCTTTTCTGTGACAAAATATTTGACTTCATAGAAGATGTAACAAAATATTTGGCTTAAGAATTTTGTTTGACCTTTTCTGATCAGCTAAAACTTGCATCTCTGGGAATAGATTTAAGATTTTGTAAAGGATTTAAAAATAATCAGTCACTAATTGTATTTACCATTGCATGCAAAGTAAATATCGATTAGTTGGATCGATAATTTAGTTTCTGCACCTCAATAATAATTCCAATGCGATAGAACAAGTTCAATAAAAATTTCTGGAATAGTTATATTTGTGATCACACAAAATTTATTTTGAATGTGGTTTAGAACACAATCTTCTACGCACACATTGATATTGTTTTCTAAATTCTTGACGAACTATTTTCCAACATTTGTAGGATCATTTTTACACTATTGTTAGTATTGTATAAAGTTCATAATAATTGTCTTTTCCTGGTGTAATAAAATATTTTTATCTGTGTATGTAATAAAATAAATGACATAACTAGTAATGTCATCTGGTCTTAATGTGTAAATAGTCGACTTAATCAAAAATAACTTTGATGTAACTAGTTTAAAACCTTCAGTTATGAGAGTGATTTTTGCAGTAGTGACTCTGCTATACGAGACAGCAATCCAAGTAATTGTTACACAAAATATTTTATAATTATCCAGTCATTATCAACAAAAATGTAAGTAAAAATTAACACACTTATAAAAAACATTTTAGAATTCTCAATGATTTAACTCAGAGTGATGAATATCTACAGGCGACACCTGTACATACAGGTCGTAAAAGGATATCACCCATATATTTGTTCTAAATTTGGTCTCAAACGATTAAGATTAACTTGAAACGTCGACAAAACATAAAATCAGTAAATCGGATTTTCTGGCGAACACAAAAAAATTTTCTTCGAGAAGTTAAATAAATAAAAGTGTCCTATAGTCCTCGTGCTTTTATTTCCTTTGTCTCCACCATCTTACATCTTACATCCTAAACTGTCGAATAGGAAGGATCCTAAAACAGATAAGGAACAGCGAGCAAACAAGGAATCCCTATTAGTATAAAAGCTCGAAGAGAACAAATAGCATGGTAGTCCAAAAGGTATTAAGATAGACGCCTCGATAAGCTTAATCCTAAGGACATTGGCGTGTAAAAGTGTGCGCAATCGCGTACAAATAGCACCATCGGTATCGAAGACAGTCGACGGATTTATTTTTTATCTGATCCTTGGTCGCATTCGTATTGATCGTTCTGCACCGTGAAGAAAAATTAACCTGCACGAGAAAATGGTGAATTTTTGCACTTGGAGGGCGTCCATTAATCATGTGATCGGTTTTGTAAGAAGATGATATTTTAACTAGTGGGGTGCATGGAATTGTGCCTTAAGGTAAATTGCTGATTAAAGCTCGACGCCATGCGCACCACTAGTTTATTTAAATTTAAGTGTAAGTAAAATCATCATACATATCAAATTTTAATGAATATTCTTTCAATTTTATGGTAAAAATAAAGAATTAGTTAGTTTATTAGTTATTAATTCGAAGGATCAACTTCTTTAAAGGGCTTTTGTATTGTGAGCTAACGTACTTTTGGAAAACAATCAATATTTGAAGTTTTAATTCATGATGATCTTATAGAATATGTTAGTTTGATTTGTTATTTAATATACTTGGGATATTATCAATATTCAATAGAGCGGAGATGACTCTTTCTTCAGTGAATAAGTAAACTTTACTGAAAATATTTGTGGGTTTAAAGGGTTGAATGGTTTTTTCATTCGCCAAGCATTTTATGAATTAATATTTATAAATTTTAGCATTTTCATAAACAATATATTATTTCCGAGACTGTTGACAATCGCACCAGCAAATCCCTTGGACTATTCCTTGATTAAAGTCATCCGTCATGATCCTCCTTCGTCGTGAACTTATTTTTTTGCGATGTCGTTTGTTTTATTTCTTTTTCTGTAGACTAAAGTCCTCATTTTATAATCTATTTTCTTCGTCTTTAATTCATCTGTCGTACATAGTCTTTGATCGGCTATATGTAATTTACTTCTATTTTAAAAAAAACTTTCGAGTATAAGACATTTTTTATAATTTTTACCTACAATTAGAATTTTCGAGAAGTGGACATGAAGTTTAAATTATTTGTTTCAAATTTAACAAACTATTTTATTTATTTAATTTACCATTAGTGACTTTTAAGTTAATACTGAGTTGGTGAGATAATATTAATATACCTTAATTTTTATCTACTATAATGATTTACAGTTATATATCTATACTTTTATATATAATCTAGCTTATGTTTACATTTCTTATTATATTTTTTACAGAAAACAGTAACTGTCATAAAAATCCTTCAGTCTGAAAGGATTTATAAAAGAAGCTTACAAACCGTTTTCATATGGCTTTTAAAGTTTACTTAAACTTGGCCCCATTTTTCCTCAATAATGTGAATTCTAGAAAACTTTTATTCGTAATTTTATTGAGTTACGATGCTAAAATGAAATTTGTAGTAAATACATAATAATATTTGATAATATTTTTGAAGTCAATTAACATGCGAAGAAAAAATATAATTATATTTAATTCAGATCAGGTAGTATTTCTTTGTTCTACAAATTTAAAATAAAATAAATTTGTTTACTATTTATATAATTGAACAATAGATAAATTCAGTTAAAAACTGCCTTAAATTATATCTACTAAGTTTGACGATAATTTATTTTATTACTTCAGAAATATTTATTTTCTATAAAAAATTCGAAAACCGGTTAAAATCGATTTCCCGGAAGATTTACTATTCTAAAACCGGTTTTCTTAAATGTCGCTTTTTCTATAAACCCTAGTTTTGATACCATTTTTTGTCATTCTAGTGGTAGTCATATTAACGGATGCTATAGCTTTTTTAAATTTTATCAAAGATTTGCTCCGATTTTTTTTTATTTAACTAGAATAGATTTTACTTAATTATATTTCTATAACGAATAAACCATAAAATAATTTACATGATTATAAAATATTACTCCGAAATTGTGAAGGGCCATAAATTGTTTTTATATTTAGCCATAAGAACTTTTTTGTAAGTTTTACCTACAGTAAAACATAATTTTATTACCTGTTCCTCATGCAGTACGTGAATTGGTATAGAATAACAAGTGAGAGCGTATTTCATTTTTATTTGTCTATAATTGCTATGAGAACATGATATTTAATGAGCCCTAATTATAATAATTGGCTCGGCGTCCGGTGGACGGGCCGGGGTAAGGTGATGTAAGGCTAATGTTCGGCAATGTATCACTAAAAGTATAAAAAAATACTATAAAGTATGTAAAAATGTATATGATATAATAGAAAATCAAATATAGGAATTAGAAGTTCTACTTTATAGTCAAAATTTGAGTTTTCGTATAGAGACAGAGGAAAGTTAGGTAAATAGTTACGAGCCAATACCTTTTTTTAAAATAAATTTTCATACTACTCTCAGTCTAGAGTATTATACGTTATATGTAGTTGTTATTCCTTAACTGTTAACTTTTAACAGTAACTTTTAACTTTTTTATTCACTATTTTGTTAATGTTTACGTCTTTGCCAATGCAAACATTGAGTCGTTCTTTTACCCAACTACGTGTATACTTTAATAAAGGTTATATAAAAAGCTATGTAAAATTTAACGTAAAAATGGTACCTCTATAAAAAATTCAAACTAGTGGGGCGCATGGCATCTAGCCTTAAGGCAAATTGCTGGAACTTCCCGTACCAAATAATATTATTTTTTCAAAAACGATTAACATTTATGAAAAAAATTTACTTCGAAAAAATTAGATTTTTGAGAAACTAGGAATTTGTAAAAAAATTACATTTAAAAAAAAATGTTTTCTTTATTTTGACATATTTTGGAAATTCTGAACTGTTTTTTTCAAAGCAATCGTACTGCTTTAACTGTATAGAGACATAATGTCAAAGCGCGTAAGCGCCGCGTCGCCATCTGACGAATATCATTGGTACGGAACCCATAGGAATGCAAACAAAATTTATACTTATTGTTAAAATTTCTATAAAATATCTGATAATTTGATGTGCATATGTCTAATGATCATTTTTGACCGCCAAATGGCATTTTTTTTACTTTTTTATTAGATCTCCGAAACCGCTAGACCTGCCTTTATGAAAATTTGATCAGTTCTTTATCTTGTCAATACGAGTAGAATGTTTTTTGAATTATTAAAATCGGACGCTTCGTTCTCTTAAAAACTGAGTTACCGTTTTCGGCACTTTTTGCCCCGTATCTTCGGAACGGCTGTCGCCGTCTAACAGATAAGCAATGGTACGGAACCCATAGGAATGTAAACAAAATTTATACTTATTGTTAAAATCTCTATAAAATATCTGATAATTTGATGTGCATATGTCTAATGATCATTTTTGACCGCCAGATGGCATTTTTTTTTACTTTTTTCATTAGATCTCCGAAACTGCTAGACCTGCCTTTATGAAAATTTGTTAATTAATTTGTTGATTTGTTCATCTTGTTAATACAAGTAAAATGATTTTTGAATTATTCAAATCGGACGCTCCGTTCTCTTAAAAACTGAGTTATGTTTTTGGCACTTTTTGCTCTATATCTTCGGAACGGCTAGACCTGCCTTTGCCAAAAACTAAACAGCACGTCTCCTTATCAATACGAATCGAATGTTTTTTGAATTATTCAAATCGCTTCATTCGTTTTCCCAAAATCGTTGACGAAAATTTGTATCCGCACCTTATACACACACGCACACACACACATACACACACATACATCCATTTTTTCTAAGGTATGCCAAAATATTCAGAAACCTCTGAAACATAAAGATATATAAAAAAAATCATTTTCGATTTGCGATTACTATAACTTATCATACGGGAAATTAAAAGCTAAAATTGACAATTATATTACTATTATTTTTATTATTTTCTAGTGTCAAGAGCCTATGTCGGTAGGCGACATCGCCGTGTTTGCCGGCCGCTGCGGGCCCAACGTATGTTGGCATCCTGCCTGCTTCACCTGCGCCAGTTGCCGAGAACTTTTGGTCGATCTGATCTATTTCAGGCGCGAGGGCAGGTTGTACTGCGGACGACATCATGCGGAGACGTTGAAACCTCGATGCAGTGCTTGTGACGAGGTAAATGTTACATTTAAAAGTTTTTAATCATTAAGTCGCAGTGTAAGATAATATGAGAAGAAATACCGACGAAATGGTATATAACTAGTTGGTATTGGTATTTAGCCTTGAGCCAAGTTACATGAACTTCCCGAAATGTGTAAATAATCGACTTAATCAATAATAAACAAATTACTTTATGAGTGATTAGAAGTATTCCGAGGGGATTTATTACCCATCATTGCAAACGAACGAACGAACACGTTAGTTCGGAGTATTTTTTAAAAGAAAATTTTCAAAAATCAATAATTTGTATAATTGAGCTAGTTTTTTGTAGGACTTCAATTATTTAGCATGTTCATTAAGACCAAGTACTCTATCGTTATACCAAGTGAATCATCTAATTTTATTTTTAACAAACGTCAAAAAAACTACTCATTTTCTCAAACTTTGATAAATTTTTAAAATTAAACTACCTGTCGTAATACCTTAAATTTTCAGTAAGTTCTATAAGACCATGATATATATCGCTAAAAAAATTCCATAAAAATTGCCTTACATTTTTTTTCAACAGTTAATTACAAGAAAACGGCTCGGTAGATTTTCACCTGAAACTAATCAGTACCATTCCCAACTAATATCTTTCGAACAGTTTTTGATTTTCTAAAATCGGTTCAGTAGGATGAGCTTAAATATGGACGAAAGGTTTAACACTTTTTTCCAAATTACAAAGAAACGGCTCGGCAGACCGTCTCACAAAATTGAGAAACGATAGTCTTCATCGAGATACATCAAATGAGCAAACGTCAATTAAAGTTCTAATTTTGACAAATGCCAAAAAGAACATACTAATTTTTGCAAATTTCACGAATTTTTAAAGCTAAACCAGTTGTCGTAGGGTCGTAATATTTTAGTATGATCTAGAAGACCGTCAAAAAAATAATCATAAAAATCGTCGATTTTTTTTTTTAAATACTTTATTACAAGAAAACAGCCCGGCCGATCTCTAACAAAAACTAATCAGCACGATTTCCAACCAATATTTTCCGAACGGTTTTTGAATTTACAAAATCGATTCAGAATTGCGGGCTAAAACGTGGACGAAAAATTTTTCCCTTTTCTGCGATTTATAAAGAAACGGCTTAGCCGATCGTCGCACAAAACTGACAAGCAATAGTCCTCATCGAGATACATCGAGAGGCTTTTAAATTTTTGAAATCGGTCCAGCCGTTTTCGAGAAAACGTCGATTTACGCACACACACACACATACTTTTTCCAAATTTGGTCTCATTCGATTCAGAATGGCTTGAAACGTCGAGAAAACATAAAATTAGCAAATCGGATTTTTTAATGAAAACATAAACTTCTCCTTCGGGAAGTTAACAAGGATGAGCAACCCGCGAGCAGGATGTTTTCCCAAGGTTGGTCTGCCAAGCATTTCTAAACCACAGAATTATTTTTTAAGATACTTCATCAAATACAGCTGTGGAGGCTAATTTTGTTAGTCAAATACAGACAAAATCAGTCATTTGTTTGATGTTGAAAAATGATTGTGCTTAAACAATATCACGCCCAATCTCGAGATTAATTTATTCATTTTACCAATTTATTTTTATCCCAATAGATTATTTTAGCGGACGAATGTACAGAAGCCGAAGGTCGAGCATGGCATATGCGCCACTTCGCTTGCCACGAATGCGATCGGCAATTAGGTGGACAAAGATACATTATGCGGGATGGTCGCCCATATTGTTTAGGCTGTTTCGATGCCATGTTTGCCGAATATTGTGACAGATGCGGAGAACCTATTGGTGTCGATCAGGGTCAAATGTCTCATGATGGTCAACATTGGCATGCCACAGAAGCATGCTTCTGTTGTCATGCTTGTAATGGATCATTACTTGGAAGACCATTTCTGCCACGGAGAGGTGCTATCTATTGCTCGATTGCTTGTAGTAAAGGCGAACCGCCAACACCATCAGATAGCAGCGGACCTCAGGTCAGTTATAATAAACTTCAATACATTTATACTTTTCTATCGTTCTTAGAATTCTGACAAGTGAAAAGATCAGTAAACCCGATTTTTTAAATCACGTGCGAACATTAAATTTTTAGGAATAAATATATCTTTTTCAGGAATATATAGATTTAATTGGTCTGTGTTTTCTTGCAAAAAGGTTGGTAATTCCGAGATTTGACAAATGACGTGATGCCCATTGGAATCTAAACATTTCAATTTTGGGAATCACGTGTAATGTCTAAAATTTCAAGAATAAATTCATCAATGTGATTTAGGGGCCAATTCTCAGATAAAATAGAATTATAGCATAATTTGTAGAAAGATCGGATTTTCCTGATTTCGTAAAGATAGCATGATGAGTGTTGGCTTCTAGATATTTAAATTTGTGGAATCAAAACTGAGCCTTGAATTTTGAAAATTAATCTAAAAAACTTAAACTTATACCTGATTAAAAACATTTTTTAACAAACTTAAGGGGCACAACTAGTGTAACCGCCTAAAAAAAAAGGTGATTTTTGGGAATTTATATTAAAAAACCTCTTATATCAATCATTTCAAAGTTTCAGGAATATATTTATACATGTTTTAAGAATACATAGTAAAATTTCTTGAGAAAAAAATTAAATGTTTTTTATGTTATCGTCGATCTCCAACGGCGCGACAAAAAAGGGCCCTTCACTGCTGCAGTGATTCCGGCCTTCTACGTGGATAAAATTTAAAAAAAAAATTTTTTGTTAAACTAGATAATATTGTCTGTAAAATGAACTACGATAAGGAAAAAAAATCAAAAATTGACAAAATGACGGCGTTTTTTAAAAAATAGTCGAATTTTACCCAAAATTTTGGTCGTTTTTGGACTGCCAAATTTCGATTTTTGATCCGGTCAAAAAATCGATAGTTCATTTTACGGAGAACTATATATAGAACATGTAGAAAAAATCGATCATTTGTTTTTGAGTAATTGCTGCAGCAAATTCTGAAAATGCTGTTTCGAGAAAAACGCTTTAAAGATTAAATGATCGTTATACTATATACTATATACATACTCTTTAAATGGCTGTAACTCAAAAACTATTCGAGATAGCGACTTAAAATTTTAGTATGTTATTTTTAAAGGTATAACCTATCGAAATATGGAAAAATTTAAAATTCGGTTTTTTGAAAATTTCACACTAGTTGTGCCCCTTAAGATTTTAAATTTTATAAAAAATCACTGTTCCCGACTTTTAGTTAGTTTAGAAGAGATATTTGTAAATTAATGAATGGAACTATAGTTTTCTTGAATTTCCATTTTCTGAAACAATATTTAATCCAAGAACAAATTATTTTCACAATCTATTTCTCCTATAGACTCGTATACCAAGACAAACGCCTCGAAGGCGCGCCCCATCTCCAGCACCGTCTCATCCTGATTCTTCGCACCTGCAGCAGTCTCTAACGGATAGTACGCAGCAGTACGGTGTCCAGAGCAGTCAGGGCATGCCTTCGCCTCCTTCAACTGCTCCATCTTCACCACATCCCTCAGTGCGAAGTCCTAGAATGGGAAGACGAGCACTTCATAGATCACCTAACAATCACCATCAAGGTAATACGATGGAAATTTATCGAAAATTGAATGTGAGGTGGTGCACTTAAATCTATTATACAAATATATGTTTAATAGTATTTATCTTCCTCAATTCAAGTATTCTTACGCAACTTATTTTTCTAGTTACTTATTTTAAAGCATAATTTCTTTACCCAGTTGATCCTGATTTGCCACCATTACCTTCAAAGCCACCACCAAGTGACGACGAGCAAGTTCTGCATCTTCAAGAGGATCAGCAATTTCATGCAGATTGTGAATTATCTAGAGATCGATCCAATGCTCCGGAACTTTTGAATCACAATCAGTTTGATCAAAATTATATGCTTTCATCTGATAGCTCACAAATAACAAATCCAATAGAATTGACAGAAAGTAATCTTGAACGAGATTTTGAAAGATTGATGTCAAATAGAAAATTAACAGCGGGCGGATCACGGAAACCTATTGATTTGGAAGGATTAACAGTACAAAGCAGGGTGAGTGACTGTAAATGAAAGAATTTGTAAAATCTTTTATTGTTAAAGGTTTGTTGAAACATGTTTTTTACAAGAATAGTTTTGTTGTTAATTATAAATAAATATTAATAAATTAGGCAAAAGTATTATTACGTATAGTCAACATATGACAAAATTATAAAAGTGGCGATCTTGTCCGAATACAAGTTGCATGTACTTTCTTGTTTTAAGAATCGATCTAATGAATATAAAAGAGATTAAGAAAATGAAGTTTTCGCTTTTCAATAGAAACTTATCTATACGTTTTTTATCAATTGATATCTTTCATGCAAACTTTATTTGATACTATTAAATTTATCACATACCTAAATATTTAATAGAACTAGTGGTTCATGATATCGTGCCTTAAGGCAAATTGCTGGAACTTTCCATACGCAAAACTAAATATTTAGAAAAAAACTGCAAAACTTTTAAAAAATCAGATTTTTGAGAAATTTTGGATTTTTTGAAAAAAATAGACTTTTTTGAAATTTTTTTTTTTATTTTTTTGGATTTTGTTTTTTTTTGTATTCTGTTTTTTTTTTTTAAATTCGGATCATTTTTTATGCGCGTAAGCGCCGCTTAGTCGTCTAACGTGTAAACCCATATAAATGTACACAAAATTTGTACTTATTATTATAATCTTTATGAAATATCTAATGAGACGTGCTGATTAGTTTTTGGCAAAGGCAGGTATAGCCGTTTCGAAGATACGGGGCAAAAAGTGCCACAAACGGTAACTCAGTTCTTATGAGAACGGAGTGCCCGATTTTATTTATTCAAAAAATATTTTACTTGTATTGACATGAACAACTGGTTAAATTTTCATGAAAGCAGCGGTTTCGGAGATCTAGTGAAAAAAGCAAAAAATAAATGCCATTTGGCGGTCAAAAATGATCATTATACAAATGCATATGAAATTATTAGATATTTTATAGAGATTTTAACAATAAGTATAAATTTTGTTTTCATTCCTATGGGTTCGTACTTATGTTTATCCGTTAGACGGCGAAGCGGCGCTTAGGCGCTTCGATATTCGTCTTTATGCAGATAATTTGATGTGCATATGTCTAATGTTTATTTTTGACCGCCAAATGGCTCATTTTTTTACTTTTTCTTTCATATCTCCAAAAGTCGTTGGACCTGCCTTTCCAACAATTTGAACAGTTCTTCATTTAGTCAATACAAATAAAATGTTTTTTGAATTATTCAAATCGAACGCTCCGTTCTCTTAAAAACTGGGTTACCGTTTTGGACACTTTTTGCCCCGTATCTTCGGAACGGCTAGACCTGCCTTCGCCAAAAACTAATCAGCACGTCTCCTTATCAATACAAATCGAATGTTTTTTGAATTATTAAAATCGGTTGATCCGTGTTCCCGAAATCATCGACGAAAATTTGTATCCGAACATACATACACACACGCACACACACACATTTTTTCCTAAGGTATGCCAAAATGTGCAGAAGGTTTTGAGACGTAAAGATCTATAAAAATTTTCATTTTCGATTTTTTTGCGATTACTATAACTTGCCCTACGGAAAGTTAATAAAGAAAACATTTTTTGGAAAAACGTCCTTTTTCCAAAAAAAATTTTTTTTTCAAAAATTTATAGTTTCTCAAAAATCTAATTCTTTCAAAGTAATTTCTTTTCCAAAATGTTAATCTTTTTAAAAAAAATTTTTTTTGGTACGGGAAGTATTAGCAATTTGCCTTAAGGCACGATGCCATGCGCCCCACTAGTTTCAATTTTGGTGTCAAACTATTGAGAATGCCTTGAAATGACGGCAAAACATAAAAACACAAAATTATCATATCGGATTTCTGCCAAAGCGTGAACTTATCATTCAGGCATATGTAATATGTAAATAACGGGGCTGTCATAAATTAATTTTAATACGTTTTTTTCCGCATGTTTAGAGCGAATCACCAGTACAATCGCCTGAAATAACTCCTCAACATGCGTCTTCAATGCCCGAACTTCAGCAACCGAATCAACCACAGATTTTATCGGAAAAGACTGATATACAGAAAAAGCTAAAAGAAGTTCGATTTGAAAATGTCCAGTCGGTTAACGAGGTATCTAGAAGCAGAAGTTACTTGGGATCAAAACACGAGCGGCGCACCAAAGTTTCAAGGCGCCATTCGACACACCATAAGGACGAAACTGATAATATTTCGATTTGCTCAACATGTTCATCGAGTTCATCGAGTGAAGACTTTGACTATGAATTACCTCCAAGAAGAGCATATGGTGGAGTACGAATAAGTTACGTGCCAAACGATGCATTTGCAGCAGCCAGGAGGAGAAGGCAAGAAGGTTTGAGTGGTGCTGGAAGTCCATCACGAGCTGATAATAAAAACTGCATAATTTCATGATGTTCGTTTGATATTTTATGTTGCAAAAAATTTAATACGGAACAATTGTAACATCACCGCACTATTGTGAAGTGACTACAGGTAACCCCCTTATAATACAGTACTTTCATGACAAGGTTCGAGTATAAGCAATTTTCTCTTTTAACATGGATTTGCAATGTCTTACAATAATACAATTAAAAATATAGTAATATATATTAAAAACGAACTTCGCGTAATTTAAATTCAGCGAAAACACCGTGCAATCAAACTAGTGCAAAAGATACCTCATCGGGTAAAATCTTTAAAAATTAAAGGTATTGAAAACGTTTTTTTACAACCAATGAATTTAAAGGTGGCGCAAGAAAATGCTCAGAGTATGAAGATATCTCGCCAATAACCTGCTTTTCGTTATGACAAAGAGAGAAATAATAAATTTATTATAAATTACTTCATGAAAATTTAAGTATATATATATATATATATATATATATATATATATATAAATCCTTTATAAGTTTTAGCTCTTAATATTGTCTTTTAGATAGTGCGCAATTCAATCAAAGTTTTGTATGGAAATAGCATGAAAATTTTTTTAAAAATTTTAAAAATTTTTTTCAGATCAAAATTCGACGCTCTACCCAACAAATTATATAAAAAACCTGTATTGCAGAGCGTCGAATTTTCAACATAAGATGACACGAGTTGTCACTTTTAATTCATTTGTCGCTAAGTTATAGCTAAAAAACATTTTTTAAATTTTCGATTTTTTTTTCATGCCATTTCCATACAAAGCTTTGATTGAATTGCGCACTATCTAAAAGTTATTATTAAGAGCTAAAACTTTTAGAATTTTTTTTCTCAATTTGGAAGCATTTAAGCCCCTGGGAACGATAAAGTTCGACAATGTCTATTTTAATATATATGTATATATATATATACTTTTTTTGAGAATTGATGTCTGTTGATAGTACATTTTGGTATATAAATGTTTGCTATTGCAAATCCAGTATAAAACATGTGCAATTAAATAAAGGCTTGTTGCACTACGATTTATGTATGAAACAAATATTTTTCATGATTTTATGAACAGAGAATAAACTTGGTGAAATCAAATTTGTAGATATAATATATGAGCATCATGCATTTTTAACGGTGACCGAGTTGAATAAACTATAGAGATAGATAAAGTTTTTGTACAAGTGCAAATAAAATATATATTAAGTAGTTACATATAATATCGAATAATTTTATTCTATGTATATTGTTTAACATAGCGTAATTTTGACCTATATGATAGCAATTTAAGTTGAATTTTCATTAATATCATTAATGATTATATTTAATAACAACTGCATTCGATAAAAAAACAAACACCATGCTTAAAAACGTTAATATTTGATGTATTTTTTGTCATAAATTTATTTACTGACTTGAAATAATAATTTGCTGTGCAAGACGAGAAAAAATATTTTATCATATTAATAACAATATGTTTTGATAATGAAGGAGAATAAAAACTTGAATTCACAATGTTCACAAATATGTGGATTTGAATGCTGATAGATTGATGCATCAAAACTTCTAATATGATTCCTGCCTTTACTGACAACTAATACAAGATTTTAAACAAAATTACTTATACTACATTTTTCTGATTCGCAAAAGTGTATGTTTATATCGTATATACATATACAAATATTATACATATATATATATATATATATATATATATATATATATATTATACGTTATTCTCATAATTATTTGTACTTATGAATGCAAATATTTCCAAATATTAATGTATATTTGAAACTGTACATAAAGTAACATGTAATGTATTTATCTAACTTAAGCGAATAGATTTTATATAAATGAAATGCACAATGTACGTGCACCATTGTATTCTATTTCAAATTTGTATATTGTACTCTAGTACGCAACTGAATGTTACAAAAAGTTGTTGTCTGCTTATTTATGATAATTGTCATATAATGTAATTGTAAGTAACTTTACTCTGCAATACATATTATAAACTAAAACTTGTGCTTCCAGAAATTACTACTAAAATATCTTAAGTGCATTTTCATTAGTGTCATATTGAAAATCTTAAGACTGATATTCACATTGAATGCTATCATCAAAATTTACTAGTGGCAGCTCTATATAAATTATTCACTATAAATTGCATTAATAAAATAGTATTTCAATTCCCAAATATGCTATCATTTCTTTTATTTTGTATTTATGTATTCAAGAATACTAAAGTAATATTAAGTCGTGTGTATCATGTATAAAATATAAATATTAAATATTTTTACTAATATATAGCTTTATTACCACTATGTTGATGCAATTATTAAATTGATGTAAAAAAATTAATTATAGATTACAGTAGAAACTCGTTTATCCGGCAATCGGTTATACGGATTCGCGATCATCCTACTTACAATTACAATTTGTTCATGATTAATGCTGCATTTTATTATATATATGTAATGTAATCTAAGAAAATATGTATAAATACAAAAATGGAAGCAGTACATACATAAGGATGTGTTAATTTCTTAATAAATATTTTTTTCGTTGACATCTATGTATGTATTTGTTATTTTCAATAAATCACATTCGATTATCCGAATGCCTATCGACAACAATTAGTTCGGTTAATCGAGTTTCTACTGTATTTGAAATATAAGTAAAAATAAATAATGCAAACGAATTAACCGCAGTATCATTTGAGATTTTATATTTTTTCTTATATATTTTATTACGATATATACGAGTTCGATAACATTTTTTTGAATGTATTAGGTTTTGTTGAATGTATGGTATGTTATTAGTTTTTAACAATCCGATAAAATTGTTTTATGGATAAAATTGATTTGTTAATATTGCTGAATTTTCTTACAACAATTGATTTTTTTACAACATTTCTATTATAATTTTTTCAAATTTTTATTACTTCTCAATTTTTAAAACGATTTATTTTCTCAAATTTGCTAGTAATGTTTGTACAATGCGCAAAATTTTGTACGTTCATAGATGACAAATCCTTCGATTGATTGAGAGTCAATTTTGTTTGGACTTCATGTATTTTTCGATTTCTAAAATGTTATAAAATGATGGTTCTAATTTTTCATTCTCAAGTGAGTATTTATATTATTAATTAATGTTTATTTACAAACATAATACAAATCTAAACGAATAATCACTCAGTTTTTTAAACATTCAATTTACTACCAACTATGCATGCATGCAACTCAAACTATTACCAATAATAATTTATTTTACAGTACGGAATTCTGTACCTATCCACGGATTTTTTAACAAAGTTTTTCCCGTTTTTTATCAAATATTCAAAGATATCTAATATTTTTTTCAAAATTTTTTCCCAAAACATTTTTATACCCAAATTTTTTTTTCAAATATTCTTTCCCAAATTTTTTTTTTAAATTTTTCTCTAAAAATTTTTTGGACCACAATTTTTTTGGTCAAAATTTTTTTACCAAAATTTTTTTGACCAAAAATTTTTTTGACCAAAATTTTTTTCCAAAAATTTTTTTGACCAAAAATTTTTTTTCAAAAATTTTTTTGATCAAAATTTTTCTGACCAAAAATTTTTTTTCCTAAATTTTTTGGACCAAAATTTTTTTACCAAAATTTTTTTGGCCAAAATTTTTTTACCAAAATTTTTTTGATCAAAATTTTTTTCAAAAAAATTTTTTTCCAGAAATTTTTTTTACCAAAAATTTTTTTCCCAATATTTTTTTGACCAAATTTTTTTTGACCAAAATTTTTTTACCAAAATTTTTTGACCAAAATTTTTTTCCAAAAATTTTTTTTTCCAAAATTTTTTGGGCCAAAATTTTTTGGGCCAAAATTTTTTGGGCCAAAATTTTTTGGGCCAAAATTTTTTGGGCCAAAATTTTTTTGACCAAAATTTTTTTTTCCCAAAAATTTTTTTTCCAAGATTTTTTTTTCCAAGAACAATTACAATTTGTTCATGATTAATGCTGCATTTTAATATATGTATGTAATGAAATCTAAGAAAATAGGTGGAAGCAGTACACACATAAGGATGTGTTAATTTCTTAATAAATATTTTTTTCGTTGACATCTATGTATGTATTTGTTATTTTCAATAAATCACATTCGATTAGGTGGAACGATGGGGTTGGCGATGATGGGGATGTTAGATGAGGGAAATGGAGTGGGGAGGGTAAAATGTGTGAAGAAAGCAAGCAATTTTTTTTCCAAAATGGTTACATAGCAACCATAGTTGTGATGTTTATTTATTGTTGAATAACACAGTTAATATTTAGATATAACAAACTAACAGGTCATATGGCCAACAAAAAGTTGCATAGCCATGGCCTGTGTTGGCGTTATTGGTAGAGTTATGGCTTCGTATCAACAGGGTGCCGAGTTCGAATATTACTTCCAGCTATTAAACGGAATTCAGCAGTGAGCCTAACGTTGCGGTATTTATTTATTGTTGAATAAAACAAAGTTAATATAAGATATATCAAACTAACAAGTTATGAGGTCGAAAAAAAGCATAATCCATGCGGCCTGTGTTGGCGTAATTGGTAGCACGATGGCTTCATACCCACAGGGTACCGAGTTCGATTCATACCTCCGGACACAAAATTGTGGACGAAGCATGAACGGAATCACATCCGGTCGAATTTATTGTTGAATGACACAAAGTTTTAATATTTAGATATAACAAACTAACAAGTTATGAGGCCGAAAAAAAGCATGATCCATGTGGCCTGTGTTGGCGTAATTGGTAGCACGATGGCTTCGTACCCACAGGGTACCGAGTTCGATTCATACCTCCGGACACAAAATTGTGGACGAGGCATGCACGGAATCACATCCGGTCGAATTTATTGTTGAATAACACAAAGTTAATATTTAGATATAACAAACTAACAAGTTATGAGGCCGAAAAAAGCATAATCCATGCGGGCTGTATTGGCGTAATTGGTAGCACGATGGCTTCATACCCACAGGGTACCGAGTTCGATTCATACCTCCGGACACAAAATTGTGGACGAGGCATGAACGGAATCACATCCGGTCGAATTTATTGTTGAATGACACAAAGTTTTAATATTTAGATATAACAAACTAACAAGTTATGAGGCCGAAAAAAAGCATAATCCATGTGGCCTGTGTTGGCGTAATTGGTAGCACGATGGCTTCGTACCCACAGGGTACCGAGTTCGATTCATACCTCCGGACACAAAATTGTGGACGAGGCATACACGGAATCACATACGGTCGAATTTATT